AGAAAGGAACAATTGAAATCGCATCATATGACCCCTTTAAAAATGTATAAACTGGGCATTCAGAGAACATTCAGAATTAACGTTTTCAAAATTTAATGGAAACTCAAAACGTTCTTAGAACATAATTTTGTTAGATAGATAGATAGATAGATAGACAGTGTTATTTTATAACTGTTATTGTAAACTGTAATTCTTAATGACACATATATGCTTTTAAATCTACATTTGTATATTTTAAAACTGTATTGCGTCAAAAATTTGCCTGTTTTTAGTGTTGTTTGGGTTGCTTGGTTAATCTTTTTTATTAATAATATAAGAGATTTGCATAGTGTTTGCAATGGTTTAAATATCTACTTGTATATTAATTTGTAAATACAATTCGACGACGATCCAGTATGTGCATACTCATTTTAATATATTTGCCTATGTACTAGCCAAAGGTTTGCACACACGTGACTGAATTAAATGCTTGAAATGAAATTTGTAGATAAATATAAGAACATTATCACATCACAACACATCAAATCATATCACAACACATCAAATCACAACACACATCACAACACATCACATCACAACACACCACATCAGATCACATCAAAACACAACACATCAGATCACAACACAACACATCAAATCAGATCACAGCACATCAGATCACAACACAACATCAAATCAGATCACAACACATCACATCACATCACAACACTCACAACACATCAAATCACAACACACATCACAACACACCACATCAGATCACATCAAATCACAACACATCACATCACATCAAAACACAACATAACACATCAGATCACACAACACATCAAATCACAACACAACACATCAGATCACACGACATAACACATCACAACACAACACACATTACAACACACATGACAACACACACAGCACAACACATCAAATCACATCACAACACACACACAACACATCACACCACACAATACATCACAACACAACACATCACACACATCACAACACACATCACATCACAACACACACAGCACAACACATCACACCACACAATACATCA